TGTATACTATATATTTTATGATGGCCACAATTATCATAAAATATATAGTATACAGTTTGTAATGACTTAGACAGATTGTCATGGAAAGGGCCCATTCTTTTAGTAATCTACATTGGTGATTAATTGTTATAATTCATGGAAAGGGTCCATTCTTTTAGTAATCTACATTGGTGATTAATTGTTATAATTCATGGAAAGGGTCCATTCTTTTAATAATCTACATTGGTGATTTGTTAATACCATCATTTTAGAAAAATAAGTGTAAAAGTTATCTCTTAATTTTTTTTACTTTTAACTTGCAGGCTGTGAAGGAGGATTTCCATACTTGGTAGCAGGAAAATATGCCCAGGACTTTGGCCTAATACCAGAAAAATGTAACCCTTATAAAGGAAAAGATGGACCATGCAGTGAAAAGAAATGTACTCGATACTATACAGCTGAATATAGTTATGTTGGAGGATTTTATGGAGCGTATGTATTGAAACATTACTTGAGCATTTTTTTACAAATCTCTTATAAAATTACTCCTTTGGTAAAATATTTCACTTAGATTTAAAGTGTTTGTTTATTTTAGAAACATTAAAATCTTTCTCCTTTTTTTTTTCTTTAGCTTTCTTTTGTGCAGATTTAGCTATTTCTAAACTAGTTCAGTTCATTGTTTAGGAAAATATTTTTTATAAATAATCAAAGTGTTTACTGTTATAAAAGATGTAAAATACTAGTTTATTTTAAAATAATAGTCTCAACCAAAATAAATGAAGGACAATTTATGAAATATGCCTGCCAACTGAACTACTGTATTGCCCCTAATTATCGCCCCTCCTTAGTGTTTTTAAAAAGCTTACCTTGTATGACAGCAATAGTAATACAACATATAATCCACTTTTATTGCCAAAATTTTGATTTGAAAAAAAAAAAGAAATACAACCATGTACACACACACAAACTTATTAGCATTAAATTCAACAAATCACATGTGAAAAATTACTGCCCTCCCCTTTGCAGTTTGCAACACTCCGAGGATGTTAATTAGGGGTAATACAGTATTAGATGGCTGATGCTTTTAATGATATTGGCCATTAGACTTGAATAGGAAATGACTAAAAACTTTTAAAAACTTGATTCAATCTTAGTTTAGTAGACAAACTATAGGTGTAGTTTAGATAGTATACTAAACACTTAACAACCCTTTCATATGAGTAGGAGGTTGGAGTGCATGTCATAATGTTTTGTAGACTTACATTCAAAATTTTATGGAACTACTATTTTATGAATGTATATCCATAAATTTGGAATGAAATAGTAGTTTTTGATCAAATTATTTTTTATGTGTCACATGGTTCATCATCTTTTACATTTGTTCAGATTGTATTGTGGGCAATTATAACAATTAATCACCAATGTAGATTACTAAAAGAATGGACCCTTTCCAAGAATTAATCAAAACTTTAGAAAAATATATCCTTATTAATGTAGAAATTTGTTTGTATTTTAAGGCCATAACTTTAATGTAGAAATTTGTTTGTATTTTAAGGCCATAACTTTAATGTAGAAATTTGTTTGTATTTTAAGGCCATAACTTTAATGAAGAAATTTGTTTGTATTTCAAGGCCATAACTTTAATGTAGAAATTTGTTTGTATTTTAAGGCCATAACTTTAATGGAGAAATTTGTCTGTATTTCAAGGCCATAACTTTAATGTAGAAATTTGTTTGTATTTTAAGGCCATAACTTTAATGTAGAAATTTGTTTGTATTTTAAGGCCATAACTTTAATGTAGAAATTTGTTTGTATTTTAAGGCCATAACTTTAATGTAGAAATTTGTTTGTATTTTAAGGCCATAACTTTAATGTAGAAATTTGTTTGTATTTTAAGGCCATAACTTTAATGAAGAAATTTGTTTGTATTTCAAGGCCATAACTTTAATGTAGAAATTTGTTTGTATTTTAAGGCCATAACTTTAATGAAGAAATTTGTTTGTATTTCAAGGCCATAACTTTAATGTAGAAATTTGTTTGTATTTTAAGGCCATAACTT